GTGATCTAATTTCATGGACATTGTGCTGTAGAAAGCAGTTTCCTATAAGGTCATTAAAAATCTTATTGTTGTCAAGATCATTGCTCCCCATTAGTGGATTTGCTTAGGCATTTAGTCTTGTTACTGTCATCATTATTATGTCATTGTTCAGCTTCTATCAGATCCATCTCCAGCAGAGAAAACCCAGGTAAGTAAAGCAAAGTGGTAGAACTCTGAACTGGGAGTCTTCTAGAAGCCTGGAGTATCATTCCTGGCTGTAGCACCACACTAGCTAAGGGATTTAAACCAAGTTAATCTCCCAGAACCACAGTTTCTTTACCTATGCAATGAGCATTATAAGGCCTACCTAGCTAGGTAACATTTGTGACAATCGAACACAATCATTAAAAGATAGTGCTTTGAAGACCATAACATACCATCCACATGCAAGCTGACATTCATTTTACTGTTAGTGTTACCATATCATACCCAAGCAAGTTTCAGTTAGTAAAGAGAGCTGTCAAAGTGAAGATTTGTGGTTTGCCTTTGAGATATTATATGCTTCTGTCTTTCTCCAAGTGTCAAATACTTTAGAGGTTTTTCTGGTATCCAGGCAACATATTGTCTCCACTTAGCCCTTGCAAAGTCCTGAATTAAAAATAGACTTTGTTTTGCTGTGCTCTGAAATTTAAACCTATATGTTTTAAAGGAGTCAAAGCCCCCCTCCCCTTGGCTCTAGAAAGGGAAATGGTCATGTTCTAGCACTTTCAGAGAAAACTGGAGGGGCTCGGTGGGTGCCGCAAAGCCATCGACCACCTCGTCTCACTGGTCTGCTGGTGGGGTCCTAGAGCAAGGAAGGGAGCTCTGGTAGCTGAGTCGCAGGGAAAGAACTGCTGGTTCTAGAAGCGCCGTCACCAGTGCTTCACACAGAAGGTCTTTGTCACCATCATGACTACTAATCTGCAAATCAGAGACTCCAGGTAGCACTTCCGTGTTTTTTTTTCACAGTTTTAAAGCACATCTGGCCCACTATTAGGCCAGACCAGATGTCCAGTGGGGAAATGTCAGGTGATGAGGCCTTTACTGCCGATGGCTTAAGAAACCATATGCCATAGAGAACATAACCGGACATTTCTATGAAGCTGACAAATGTACTTTTTTCTATTTTATTTTTTTAATTGACAAAAATTATATGCATTGTGTACAACATGATGTTTTGAAATATGTCTACATTGTGGGACGGCTCAATCGAGCTAGTTGACTTGAGGTAAGTATGCATTACCCCACCTAGTTACTTTTTGTGGTGAGAATACTCAAGATCTGCTCTCTTAGTGGTTTTTAAAATACAATACATTGTTATTAATTAGAGTCACAATGTTGCACAATAGATCCCTTGCATTTATTCCTCCTGTCTAACTGAAATTTTGTATCTTTTGACTGACATCTTCCCAACCCCCAACTAGCCCCGAGTAACCAGCATTCTACTCTCTACTTCTGTGAGTTTAGCTTTGTTAGATTACATATATAAGATACTTTTTAATTATGCCCAAATGTATCAATGCTAAAGCATTTGGGGAAATGGGGAGGAAGAAACTTTGAGGTGTCAGCAAAATACCTCCGTTTGTTGATAACCCTATGTTCCCAGTAGTGACATTAACGATGGTGTTTATACTGGTTTACCAAGAAGTTTACAAGTTTTTCTTTTGCTTGCCTGTGGTTGGGTATGATTAGAAGCAAATAAAATGTGTTGTCCCTATTTCATCAAAAGGAAAGGCTCTCTTAGAGCTTCTTACTTTGTTGAGGTCAAACATCCAGACTTAAAATAAAACTTCCAACTTCGATTCCAGGTTTGATTCGAAACCACAGCAGAGGAAGCAGCCTGGGCTTGGCAGTCAGTTTCTGCCACATGCTAACAGAGTGACTTGGGCAAGTCACTTCACCTTGCTGAGTATTAAATCCCCTCCTGTAAAAGGGGGATAATTGTCACTATGTTCCAGGGTCCTGGAGAGGGTTAAATGAGTTAAGAGATTCTGACGCTAGAGACAACAGAGTAGAGTATGCTTGTTTATAGCTTAGACTCTGAGCTCACCCCTCCGTAGGGGCGAGCCCCAGCTTCACCTCTTCTCTAGCTGTGTGACCTTGTGTAAGTTGCTAAACCTTCCCAAGTCAGTAAAACAGAGACAATAATAGTGCCCACCTCATAGAGTCGTTGTGAGGATGTAAGAGTTCATATAACCAGAAAGCACTTAGAACAGTGCCTGCCATTTCATAAACACTATTTAAGTCTGTGCTATGATTATGATAGATTATGATTATAATTGTTGTCATCCATATGTCAGGTGCCTGGCACAAATTAGTTGTTCAAAAAAGATTAATAACTACTTTTATTATTTCTCCCATCAGAGCACTTGAATTTTAAGTACTCTGAAAGGAAAGTAATATTATAAGTCGGTTTCTTGGTTTAACTAAACAGATGTCAATGGGATCCTTTCTAAAATCTCCTTCCTTCAGGGACTGAAAACTTAATTGTATGCCATACAAGAAAGATTTTTTCCGGTGCTCCTTAGAACAAGAGAAAATTATTGGGCCTTACCCCAGGTCTTCTGGATCAGAAATTCTAGGGATGTGGAATTAGCATTGTCTGCATTAGCAAGTATTCCCAGTGAGTCTCGTGTTCCCTAAAGTTTGGGGACACCAAGTATACATCGGTCAAAACCTTGACTGCCTTCTACTGCCAGGGCAAGACAACACAGAGTGGGGCATTCTATCTGTTTGGCGGGTTGTTCTGGCCCAAGAAGTGTTAAAACAACTGTCATCATGGTGATTCCTTGAATTGAGCAGAAATGTCATGGGAAGCAGAGTCAGGGAGGGAAGACAAAGCACTTTGAGAGCATGTGTGTCTGTGGAATGTTTGGGGTGTTGGGGTCCTCTGGAAAGTGCTGATGTCACATCTTGTGTCGTACCACTGAATGATGGATGGGATAAGAGATGCCTTTTGAATTTTTATGCAAGGTTAAAATGAGGAAAATCCATTTCAGTCTTTCGAAGTCAGAGCTACTGGTACAAAAGGTCACTGACGCCAGTTGGTGGCATTGCTGAGCTCAGAGAGGGAATATTAAAATAGCAAACATTTTTTTTTAAGCACTAGATGCACTATGGGCTTAAGTCTCAATATTTTGCCATCTTGCTGCCCTGAGATTTTAAATAAATGGCATGTGAGAAAGGAAAAATACCAAGAGATTTTTCTACCTCCCGAAGGATCAAGGATGTAGATTGTTGTCCTCACACTAAGGATAACATAATTTTTACAGTGGAATAAGCAAAGCAATTAAATGATGCCTCTATTGGGAAAATAATTGTTACCAGTTGTATGTGGAGGAGAAAGATCAGTTCTGATTGAGCATGGACATTTCAGTGAAGTCAACAAGTATTTATTGGAGACCCAGCCCTTTTCTAGATGTGGTCTGCTTGAGGTTTAAGTGTAGGTGACTGAAAATTACAGTGCCTTGGGAAAGAAAGCCAGTCTTGGAAGTAAAGTGGAGAGGTTGTAAGATACTAGGTTAGTTCCGTATGTGCTGCATTTGTGTTGACAGAGCAACATCCAAATAGATTGACAGGATCTGAGAGTCGTATGCATAGAAACAGTGTTTGGATTGATTACCTAGGTAACTAAGAAGATCTGAAGATCAAGGACCAAACTTTTAGGGACACTACAATTATAGCAAATAGAATATGAGAATTCAGTGATGAAATAACAGGAGAGACCACCAGAAAAGCTGGAGGTGGTCCAGAAAAGCAGGATCATGTTCTATCATGGAAATCAAGAGGAGAGATTTCTTCAAGAAGAGAGTGGTGTTCTTTGGTGTTTAAAGTGTGTAGAAATAAAAAAGAATAAAGCATGGGGAAAGGTGGGGTCAGGTGTTGGATTTGCTAAGTGAAGATATTAATTTAAAAAGTATATTTTCCATAAAATGGGTGATCTTTATCACATTCATTCAAGTCAGGGTTTTTCAACCTCAGTGATATTGATATTTGGGGCTGGAGAATTCTCTGTGGTGGGGACTGTCCTGTGCAATGTAGATGTTTGACAGTGTTCCTGGCCTCTCAGCTCAGCACATGTAACTCCTCCACCGCCAGTTGTGATTACCAAAAAATCTCTTCAGACATTGCCACATGTCTCTGGTTAAGACTCACTGATTTAAGTATTTATTTAGCTCCACTGTGTATATGGTTCTACCTTAGGTACTGCAGGACATAAAAAGCATGACACACTCCCACCATGAAGAAGAATACATTCTAATTTTCCTAAATTGAGTCATTCTGTTATTTTTCTTGTTATGTTGGTTAAAACTGTGTAGATGTATACACATACATATATACACACATGTATATATACATATACACATATACATGGCAGTTATCATCCAGGTTAACATGATATCAATTTAATTATGGAATGATATTAGAAAAATAGTAAATTGGAAATATTTTCCCAAAGCTATATGTTTTAGCACAGATCAATGTTGGAAATTTTGATTATGGCTCTATAGCAACACTAGTGAGTGAGCAATTTCCAAATTAATTTCTTTGTGTATGCCAAAGATTCAAATTATTTTTTGCTCTTTTCGTTTCATAGGAAGATAAAATACTCTTACTAATCCATAGGTATGCTATAGAAATTCTCAGGTTTTTTTTTTCTAAGTGACTGTACCATTTATCTTTGGGTAGAAATTAAAATACTATAGATTAAGTTCTTAAAACAAAGATTGGCATGTTGGACTTTAATTTGACCTTAGCAACATTTGTAGGAAAGACAATCACAAAAAATAATTTCATGAAAAGGAGGATCCTTAATATTTGGAAGAGATTCTCCATCAAAATAGTAACCTACCATCTTCTCAAACCTCAGTTTCCTCATAGTTGAAGAACAAAAAAGAAAATCTAACCTGCCTCTCCTGTTTTTGTTGCTTGTAACAGTGAACAAGGCCCTAACATTGAGACCCTTGGTTCTTTTTTTGCAGACTGCGTCATCTGCTATCAAAGGTGCTATTCAGCTGGGAATAGGATACACAGTGGGTAATCTCACTTCCAAGCCAGAACGAGATGTTCTCATGCAAGACTTTTATGTGGTGGAAAGTGTGTTCCTACCCAGGTACGAACATTTTCATTTGTGATGATTTTCATGCTAAGGAACCTTTTTTGTGACAACCCCCTATTGAAGGACTTTCCTACCATGTCCCTGTTTACATGTACTAATTTATATGTTGGACTCGGGGGGGGGGGGGCAAAAGCAGTTCAAATGCTTGTTACTGCCTGTTGCATCAGGTTGCCGTGCAGTTTTTATAAGGAGATGAGGAGTGGGCTTCATCCATGGGCCAGTTGTAATTAGTTGCAATGAATGCCTGGAAAGACCAGATGGAGAAAGATGTTGAGATTCAGTGGGAAAGAGTGCCGTAACCACAGAGTGATGTCTTCCAGGGCTTTAGAAAAAGAGGGCTTCCACGAAGCGGCCACTGGTGCCAGCTTTTTGGATCCCTAATGTAAAAAATCAGGCTGGTGGGCCCATAATTGGGCCTCACATCTGAATTCAGTCTTTCTAGCTTCTCCTTCCACATCCTTTGCAATGACTTTAACTTAACTTTCCTCCAGAAAACATACAAGAATTCTGCTGTTTTGACACCACATTTGCAAAAACAACAAGGTCACCCATACGTGTTGCCTTGAGCTTTTGTCATTTGTTTGGGGTGGGGATCAATTATTTAAAGAATAAATACATCAGGATATGGATGGTGGAGATGGTTGCACAACAATGTGAATGCACTTAATATCCGAGAACTGTATACTTAAAAATGTTTATGTTGTGTGTGTTTTACCACAATTAAATAAATAAATAAATTTAAAAGTCTATAACTACCTTAGTTTAGGAAAAGAAGAAGTTATTATTATGAAATTGGAAATGTTACCACAACTGACAGGATTTTTCAAAGACAATGGTCTAAAAATAAAGATATTTAATTTGGGGACTTGGAGAAAATTGTTTTGTCTTTGGGGCTGTGAGGATTGGCTTTTCAGACACATTTATATTTAATATTTAAAATAAATATTTCTCTTCAAAATTTTGTTATTTATTCCTGAGCTTGGATGAGAGTAGCTGAGGTGACAATTTTACCACCAGGGTTTTCATTGCCTTATTTAAAAAAAAAAAAAATCTTCAGAAGAATGCTGTTTACACGTTTATCTCTGTATCCAGGTATCAACTGCCTAGAAATAAAACCTTTGGATGAATGTGCAGTAACTTCCCACGTAGTCCCCAAGCAGCCCGTAAATTTTTAAAATTCAGCTATGAACCCAGACAGCCTAGTTTTGCTTTAAGTGCTCTTAGCTGAAGAACTAAGTTGGTCCACTGGAACTCTTGAAGTTTGTTTCTCCAAGGTCCATAACAGCCATGAGAACTAGATTCTCGATAGAAAATGGACAACCCCAAGGCCTGAGAGATAATCCCTGCTCATGACACTTCTTTCTATAGTCGGAAATTTTCTCTGTGTTTGTCTTTAACAGTCTGTTTATTATTCCCAAAAAAGTGTGTTTTCTTTTTCCTTGAAAGCCAGGAGGTCAGGAGTTTATCTTGATCTTTTGGTAAGATGTTTTAGGCTGATGACTCCTGTAAATGTGTTTGCAGGATGTTCGAGCTCTTATGCTCTTCTAGGGCCTCTGCCCAGATGTTTCTATCTTATTTTTTTCTTTGGCTACAAAGAGCAAGAGGAATGGAGGACTTGTGTGGGAGGGTGGTGACAACGGGTTCAGGGAGCTGAAAGCAATTAGGACTGAAGGTGGATCATAAAGACCCAGTCAACATATAGCCAAACTTCACCGGGACTTAGGGAAACCCTGGCCCGAGTGTAAGGTCCCCAGGCATCAGTATCACCTGGAACTTAGTCGACATGGAGATTCTTGGGCTCCATCCTAGACCAACTGAATCAGAAACTCTCTGGGTGGGACTCAGGAATCTGTTTTAATAAGCCCTCCAGGTAATTCCAAGCACATAAAAGTTTGAGAACCACTGGCCCAGCACACCACTTCCCATTTTAGAGTGATAATCTTTATAGTAGATGGCAAATTTTGTTCTTGCAGTTATTACATGACTCATATAACTAATAAACCTCCCAATTATTTTAAATTAGCATCTTATATATCAAAATTTATCTATTAGCAACTAAATTGTACATGACACTGTATGAGCTGCTTTATGACAAGAAGTATGTAAACAAGGTCCTCATCCATTAGGTATTTAAAGGCACTTTCTGAGTATACCCTTTTGTTCATGGACGATTTATCATAAGCCTACTGCATCTTTTTGATTAAGAGAAAATAATGATATTTTTCACCTTGTCCTCAGGAGTAGGATGCCAAAGTGTAAACACCTGGACTCTGTGGCTTTGGCCTTCACTTTGTCATCCACAGCAGTAGCAGCAGACATGCCACTGGTGGAGGAGTAGCTGGGGGGCTTGCCCTTATTTAGAGGCACCCACAGTCTCATTTAAAATATATCATTTTATACCTGTAATCCTAGCACTCTGGGAGGCCGAGGCAGGTGGATTGCTCAAAGTCAGGAGTTCAAAACCAGCCTGAGCAAGAGCAAGACCCTGTCTCTACTATAAATAGAAAGAAATTAATTGGCCAACTAACATATAGAGAGAAAATTAGCCGGGCATGGTGGCGCATGCCTGTAGTCCCAGCTACTCAGGAGGCTGAGGCAGGAGGATTGCTTGAGCCCAGGAGTTTGAGGTTGCTATGAGCTAAGCTAACACAATGGCACTCTAGCCTGGGCAACAAAAGTGAGACTCTGTCTGAAAAAATAAATAAATAAATAAATAAATAATATCATTTTAGAGAATTTACTGCTTTCAAGTATCAATATGATATTAAACATTCAATCTAGACCAAGAATTTCTTTCAGCAAATACTATATTGTTTGTTTCACTAACATATGCACTCCACATATAGTTACATGAAAACAGAAGAAATTTATGTTGGTCTAGCCTCAGTTTCCTCATCTGGAAACTGAGTTTCTTCATGGGTTTAGCAAAGGGCTTAGGCCCAGAAATCTTAATGGAGGTGCTGTTGACATTTTTGGATGGGACAACTCTTCGTTCAAGATTGCATGTTTCAGGAGATATGTCTTCCCCAGGCCCTGCCAGTAATATCTCTTAGTTACTATAGCAACCAAAACCCCCTGTAAAGTGATGGATAAATTTAGAATCTCCCTTGGGGCCATGGTTTCACAGGTGCATACACATGTGAAAATTTAACAAATTGTACACTTTATTTATCAATTATGATTCAATATATCTGCCAAATAATGCTCCCCTCCCCCATATTTCTAGGCCCATTTGGGGATGAGGATAGGGGAAGGTGGGCAGGACAGGCCCTGGCTATAAGCACCTAAAACATTCCGAGGTCTCTAGTGGCTCTAAAATTCAATGAATCTGCCTTTGTCATAGAACTAATTGCTTGAGGTACTTTAATGTTTTATTCGTAGTTTACTACTGCTCTGAAGCTGCAGGATCTGTTTCCCTTAGCAACCAAATACATTGTGTTATTTTTTATTTATTTCGACATTGTTCAGTTATTTTTAGATATTATGTACATATTTGTTCTATGGATTATTTCATTTTGTAGATGGAAAAAGCCCTGGACCTGTTTAAGATGTGAAAGAGGATAGAAAAATCCCTTTCAACCATCTGGTTCCATAATCTTCCATAGTCACAAAGGAGATGAGTAAGAGAAACATGACCGCATCTTAACATTTTGACCCCAAATTCTGTGCTGTGATCAGCAGCTCAAGGATGTCGATAAGGTTTTACATACTGATAGGATAAAGAAGACAGAGGATAGTTGATAAGGTTAACACCATGTAAACACGAACGTAGGGTAGCAAAGTTTTTAAGAAACAAGCATAGTTTTATTCATATCTATTTATATAATATATAATATTAACTTTTATTACCCTTTATCGTTACCAAAAAAAAAAATTTGACATATGAAATAGTTAGGGCCCTAAGACATTAAGTCACTTCACCCAAGGCTACACAGCCAATAAATGACAAAGCTGAGTTTCGAACTCAAGGGTGGCTGGCCCCACAATTTTGTTTTTCTTTAAACTGTGGTGATAAAGCCCAGGAATGGTATTTTTGCTTTATTAAATCAGGAAAAATGTCCAGCTTTTGTCTTAAAATTATGGACTTAGATCTGCCTCTCTGGACTCCTAAAAGCCCTGTATAGTCTCATCTCTTTTCAGGAGACACTATCACGACCTTCTCTGGGGTGGGAAAAATGGCTTAAAAGCTGGCAGTAAAAATTGAAGATCTTTCCATGTTCCAGAATAATTATCTAACCAAAGAATTTTTTAAAAGCCCTTATATTTTAATCTCCTCACTTATAAACTAGGAGTTTCGCTTGATGTGAGGATCATTGCAGAAAACAGACAGTACTTGGGTTTGATTGACATGCTCTTCGGAGTTTATTTGGATAGCTAAGGAATACCCTCATTGGAGGAGAGAATTCCACAGATCTACTGCAAGGGTAAAACATTATCTTAAATGACAAGCAAATGTATACATTAAAGGTTCATGTAAGTGCTGCCAAATGTCATTGCTCGATGTGACAGGTTTGACAAACTAGCCGACTACCTGCGTGTCAGGGCACAGAGTCTGTCTACACTACACGGATCAGCACACTGCAGCCCCTGGGACAAATCTGGCTCACTGCTCATCCTTGTGAATAAAATCTAATTGGAACACAGCCGTGCCCATTCATTTCTGAATTGTTTGTGGCTGCTTTTCCACAACAGGAAGAGAGTTGAGTAATTTGCCACACAGAGTATGACCCACATATTTACTATTATATCTGGCCCTTGATAGAAAAATAATGCCAACCCCTGGTCTACACCGACAATCTGCACTAGGTTTTATGTACGTGCAGCCTAAGCAGCCAGTACAGCCTTTGCAGGATTAAACAGGAGATGTGGCTGCTGCTGGGCAAGCCAATAATATGGTGCCCTTTCAAGGCAAAACCCTTTAAATATTTGTTCAACATATATTTGGTGGGAATGGGGAGAAACTAATTTCCTATTAATAAAAGTTATATTCCTCT